GCACTTTGTGTTAAAGCAATATTTTTCAAATACGTCGTATTCGTATACGATTATTGTTAATWAGCCAAACGAAAAATACCGCAATAGAGTGTATCGTCTCATCGTAACCAATGACCGAACGACAAATCAACAATTATAATTTTTATTAATAGCATATTGCACTAAAGTCTAAAGAAATAGATAAATTATAAATATTCTATTACGCTATATACATCATGCGCGCAGTGTCAGTGGCATATTTTTGAAGATTGTTCACGATGTCTGACGAAATATGATTTTATAATGTCATCATGGTAATAATTGGAACAATTTTTTCACTCAATTCATTAAACTTTTTTCCTGAAAATCAAAATCAAATTTTAATACAAAAACTGGAAATTCAATTATGGTTTTATCATCGGCTAGATTTCGTTTTTAAATAATTATTTTTTATCTACATTAACAAAATGTTTTAGAATTTAACTTCTGATTAACTATAACAGGATTAACGGGTGTTCCTCGTTCAGAAAAGGAATTTGTATCGTGACAGGATATTGTACTCCATAAGACCTTAAATGGTTTACAAAATCGATGTATTAGAACATTTGATCCTTATAAGTATATTATGTTGGTGTTTTTTTTTTCAATTCAGTGTATAATATGACGTCATATTAATGAGAAAATATAAGTATAAATTATTGTATAAACCAAAAACTTTGTTATTTATTTATCTAACTGAAGATATCTTTAGAGTTCAAAGTGAACACATTTTATGCATCATTTTACCAAAACTGAATGAAAATGTGAGGGGAATATTAAGTTTTAAAAGAGGTCTCTGTAAGACTGAAGTAGTATCATCACTTTATTTGTTTATTTTTTTTTCACTTTAATCTCGCCTTGTAAAGTGTGAAATACTAGCTGATTATTTTAGTCGTTATATTATAATGACTAAAATTGTAACGGAGTAAGTGCTTAATTGATTATTACTTTCTGTTATCAATATTTATAGCTTATAAATTCATATTTGTGATATAAACTTAAGAATTAATGTTTATTGTTTCTATATTTCGATAATTATAATAAAATTAATAAATACCTCAAATGTCAAAATATGATATCGATAAATATTTATATTAATATTAACTTAATTATATACCTATATAGCTATAATCACCTCCATATTATATCTATGATATGAAAATAAATTATTTAACATGTTACTATATTTTCATTTCATTTTTCCCAATACAAGTTTTCGTATTATCTCATGGCCGTTATCACTCGGCTGAATTCATTGTTATAAATTTTAATTAAAACTGTAAAAAGTTAGTTACAATATATTGTCAATAACATCTGCTATCTAAGTAACAAACTCACCCAATGATATATATTATGATTAATGAAACATATAAATGTGTCCATTTTGTCTCATATTTACCCCACTTATACATAGGTACCTACTTAAAAAATCAAGATTTTAATAAATTAATTAACACGGTAAAAAACGGGGTTGTGCATGTTTGCAGGTGAATCACCCTGTATACACACATATAATACATCACGTATATCTTAAACGCCTCAAGCCCAATAATCGTCATGTAGGTACACACGATTCAATTGTGCATGCTCTGATCGCGCGCGCATTGTTATACCGACCGAAAAGCCAAGTTCAATATATATATATATTTGTGTG